CAATTAACGTTTCGTTTGCGGAAACCTGCTACCTATATATGGTGTGATGTAATGTACAAATGAATATTAATATTATTTGGGAAAAAAAATTAAATAATATTAATAACAAGCCTATAAATACGGAAATCAATAAATATTATCTGACACTTCATTAATTTAAATTAAAGTAATTTCTGCATGTTTTACGCATGAGCTTGTCCTACCTGATTTTAAATAGAAAAATGTAATGAAAAGTAATGGCCGGCATTGAAAAAATTTTAAAGATAGTTTCTTCCCTCTCCCTCCAAACTTTTCTATCAACTCAGAGCATAGTTTACTTGTTTTTGCGAAGTTTCAATGCGGATTAATAACATTCGTACTCGTCAATTCAAAAATTTAAATATATCAAAAATATTTCCTAGAGAAGCGGTTGGAAGCTAGCGTTATGGTTAGGAAGTTGTTTTTTGCGAGCCTCGCGCAAAATAGCGTGAGGTGCCAGACTATCGATCTTTTCGCAGCTGGAACACGCTTCGCCGCTGCTATACTGCTGCCGTTCATGCTGCTTCTCGCACTCCGGTGCAGTCACTGCTTCCCACCTGTCTTGCTCCATATATATATATATCTTGAGCATCTCAGTTTAGCGTTTTAAGCATTGTTGAAACCCTGACATGGGCAGTCTTTCGTTTTTAGCGCATTTTCTCATTTATGGAAAAAATGCCCTATTGTGCTCGTCATGTCCGTCCGTCTGTCAGTCCGTGACTTCACGTTTTCGTCGACGAGAAAAGGCGCTCTCTGTCACTCACTGCATTGAGTACTGAGTTATATTTTTTCAAATTATTGAGATCTTGTTATTTCTGTATTGACGCTGTTTCGAGCGCAAGAAAGCAAGAATGTGGCTATATTTCCGATGCGGAAAGACTTAAAATCAATTTTCAATTGTTCTTTGGAAACTATTTGAGTTAATGGTCGGTTTCACCAGATTTTTTTTTTTTTTTGGTAAATCGTAAAATGTCGTGCTCATTGCATCTGCAATTTAAAATGCAGCTGAGAAAAGTTCAGTGTTTAGTGGATTTCGATATAACTTTTCTAGTTCTTAGCAAACTTATGAATTAATTTTGATTTTGATGACAATCACGACGTTGAACTCTAAGTCAAGCGATAATATGAGGCTCAATTTGAGCACTTGAGACCACGTGGCGTGTGCTGGCCGCATGATTGGGTAATAGAATACGACAACGAGGGAGCTGCACGCCACACACGGCCACTCCTGGCTCAGGTCGCGTGCGTGACGCTAGAGACAGGCAGTTAGTGGACTTGATTGATTCTGGATTTGGCGAAGATGACAGTCATTGTCGCCCATCCGCAATCTCGCGTAACTTCATCATGTATTCGATTCAATCGTCGGGATTGCGCTGGCTCAACTCAAGCCTTTGTAGACTCAGAGGAAAGGTGATAACTTGATGCTAAATTCAGAGTAACTTTCGTTATTCTTTGTGCCGATGAAGAATTCTTATGCATCCCTTAACCATTTGGCCTTTAAGTATTGCATATAATGTTGTTGCAGAAAATTATTAATTTGTATCTGTAATAATTTGTATTTGTAATAATTAATTTTTATCTGAAAATATATTCATTTTAAGAGTAATTATCAACAATTATATGCAGTTTGACACGGAAATAATAGTCTGTGGTGAGTACATCATCGGTGAAGGCAACACGGCACGAATTCGATTTATTACAGCCAACGAAACGCTCACACATCAGGATCTCTTGATGGCCTCTATAAAACTAGCGTCAGTATCGGCCATTTATGAGCTGCTCGCTCTTTGTATTCCCGCTAAACTCGCAAACATTAATTGCACAGGCATCATAGGTTTTGATTGTTTTAAACTTGATCATGCAATTGAGAGAAACGTAAATCATTCCTGACGCACCATTTAAAAGAGGTCATTTAATTACTTATCACGGCACTTTATTGGCATCTAAGTTTGTCTTAAGGTGTAATTACTCTCGATCACTTAAGATATTGACGGGCGCTCGGCTTGTCTACTTACACAAACCAAACAGAAGCGAAATCAGTTGATATAAGAAAAATAGGCCGGCGCTCGAGCGTCGGCCAAGACCGTCTTGCTTGATATTCGGGCAGTCCCGGAGCTCCAAACTAAATCGGGACTTCACAATTAATGGTTCAAATTAACCTCCCCGACATTAACGACTGCTGGACCGCGGGCTCGTTACGTCCTCTTAATTAATTGGAATTTTGTTTTATTATTTTAAAATAGAATTTTTATACCATGGGTTATGCTGTGGCATAATTTGTGTCTATTTCAGGATAAGTAATTCTTGCTTGAAGCCCTTCGTGCTGACATTTATTTTGTTTTAAACAAGGTTCTTTTGTTTCGAATGAGGAAAATTCTTTTGAGACCATCACAAAATTTCTTGTAAGATTGATTCAATATCTCAGTTTCCTATAGTTCTCACTATTCTGCTAAGAAAGGTGCAAGATTGCGGCTTTGTTCTGCAGTATGTGACCATAGTTTAGTGCTGAAGGCATTCCGACCCTCGAGACGAACTTTTCGTTCTCATTATCGTCTCGAGAAAAAAAAGAGCTTATTCTTTGCAGAAAGTTTGCTCCAGCTCAGATATTTTATGGTCTCTCGTATATCCTGGCACCTTAGCTTATTTACGGAGCTGTGGCATGCCAGAATTAAACCTGTACGATGCATCACGCCTTACTAGATCGAGTGCCAAAAGATAAATTATGGCACATCAGTATTATTGAACATAAGGCTTTTATAGGAACTTGGAACTTCGTGTGAATTGCATGTAGAATTTAATTAAAATTTCACAATGTAAATATTTGCTATTTATTTCACAACTTTTTTGGGCACCTTCTTGTTCTTTCCTCTGTAAAGAGTGGTCTATGTCTTATCATTGGTAGACTGACTCGCGTTCTGAAACTCTTGTTCTTTTGAATCACTCGTATCTTCGATCGACTATCATTTGCTTTGAAAGTGTAAATATATTGTGGAGATACGACAAGCAAAATTGTTGCTGCTCACAGAAAATTCTCTATAATAAGTGATTTAAATTTTCACGCACCTTTGCATTCGGTATCAAATAGTCCAATACATAATATAAAATCTAAGTTTTCTTTCTTGAACTTCAAAGCTTTGACATACTAAGCTAATTAAGATTTGTTAAATAAATATGGTTGATAGGTTGATTCGCTCTGTGAATGCAATACTGCATTTTTTTACTTGATTTATGAATATTCCACAGGGCAGCGGTAACTTAGGTGAGCGCCTTTAATTCTAGAAAAAGATTCTTCCTTGCTACGGGGAGTACTAAAGTACCTTTCTTGCTACGGGGAGTATCAAAAGAACCTTCTTCTTTGCTACGGGGAGTACAAAAGAACCTTCTTTCTTGCTACAGGAGTATCAAAAGTACCTTCTTCTTTGCTACGGGGAGTATCAAAAGAACCTTCTTCTTTGTTACGGGAAGTATCAAAAGAACCTTTTTCCTTGCTACGGGGAGTATCAAAAGAACCTTCTTTCTTGCTACGGGGAGTATCAAAAGAACCTTCTTTCTTGCTACGGGGATTATCAAAAGAACCTACTTCCTTGCTACGGGGATTATCAAAAGAACCTTTTTTCTTGCTACGGGGAGTATCAAAAGAACCTTTTTTCTTGCTACGGGGATTATCAAAAGAACCTTTTTTCTTGCTACGGGAATGATCAAAAGAATATCTTTCTTCGCTACGGGGGACTATTTAAAGAACATTTTTTCTTGCAATTGGAAGTATTAAGAGAACCTTCTTTCTTGCTACAGTAAAAATCAAAAGAAAATCCTCCCGACTACAGGGAATATTAATAAAACCCTCTTTCTTGCTACGGGAAATTTCCAGAGAACCTTATTTCTTGCGACGCGAGCATCAAGAGAACCTAATTCCTTGCTATGGCGAATCTCAAGAGAACCTCCTTATTCGCTCCGCTTAGCCCTGGCATGACGAATTGTTTCAGTTTGCTGCTTGTTGGAGCTACAGGGACCGGTAGCGCTCTGCGTTGAATTCTTGTAAAATTATAAATGCAAGGAGCAATTCCTGCATTTCGTTCGTAAGTTCACTCTCGCAGAAGGGATCATTTTGATGGAAAAAGTGGTTCCTGAAAATGGTTATTAAAATTATTCAACTAGGGAAGAAAATAACCAAATACATTTTAATGTAGAAACGATTCCTGAACGTAGGTGAAATTTGGCTCGTTTTCTACGAAGCGAGTAAAATTATCATGGTCTGGAATACAGATTACCTACACTTGCCGTGAGACGTAATATTATGGCATTCCGAGCCGTAGCCAGCGGAAAGAGTTAAAGGCACACCGAATGCCCCCTACATATTTTTGGCAGCGTCTACAACGATATACAAGAGTAGTCTTTTATGGTCCATTAATGTGCTTAACAGCACCTCAGGTATTTTACCATTTTTTCACATGATAGAATTTTATCAGATGAATAATTGATGGAAAAGAGGTTTCAAAATTGAGATTCTCAATTCTCACACCGAATATAGATTAAAATGCGCAATATATTTTGATCTATCATGATACCGGTGACTTAATCCTCTCTGTCCATCATATCTTTTTGTCACGAGTCTAATTTGACATTACACTGCCCTGTCTTGAAACTCATCCGCGTTTGTCTTCTAACAAATTGACGATGTCACGTGCAATTTTTTCTTCCTTACCCACAAATACTCACGCAATTCTCTTCACGAGTTGAACGATTTATTTTCCCCTAATAATTTTCCTCTCATGTGATATGTATACAGAATATTTTTTTTTATTTTATGTATGTGTAAGAAGCTCTATGGTCCTCCCTCAGAACCACCCACAAATACTCAGACATTTCTCTTCACGATTTGAACGATTCATTTTCCCCTCATAATTTTCCTGTCATGTGATCTGTATTCAGAATGTGTAGTGTTATTTTGTGTATGTGTAAGAAAGACTGCTGTCCCCCCTCAGAACGTCTTGCGGGAGCTGGAGAGCAAGAAACCGCAACTTGACGACCTCGTCGCGTCAGCCGACGGCCTCAAAGACGACGCTAAAAGCAAGACGCAGCAGCCGCAGCAGGCTGGTAAGTACTATTTCTATATGCATGTTAAACTAATAATGTATCAAGTCTCGTTTACAATTGATAACGTGTACGATAACGTGTATATTACGTGTTCTATTTGGCATTACAGATATTGCCAGAATTTTGTAAAAACAAAATCTTGCATTTTGTTTTTACTGATACTTTCAGTGTACATCATACACTGCTGTCTAAAAATAAATGGGTTCATTACTTCGGTTAAGAAACGTTTACGAAAACGAGGTTCAATTTCTGTATTTAAATAGTCCGATATCCTGTGAGCTTTAACTGTAATATATGCTCATTCAGATTGATTTAGTTGTGCTTAACTATCATTTATTAAATTGCCTCAGCATCGTTCAACAATAGTCAAATGCTGCTCCATCGAATTTTTTTCGTTATTTCAACTGTCAAGGCCCTCGGAATTTATAAATTGACGTATTGATTTGTCCGATTAAACTTTATTTGTTCAGGGAATTCAATTGTATCGTAATCTAATATCTAAAGTGTTGAGTTTTTTTTATTGAAAAAATGTACAATTGGTGATTCAACCTAATGAGCCTGACGAGTTAGGTTATTTTATTGTATATTTATAGTCGCTCAGGTGCGTCGTGCAATCAAGTGCTCTGGACAATCCTCCACTCTGTTCTCTCCGACAATAATTGTCTGCTCTCAAGTTACGTTCCTTTCGGATTAATTACGCTTCCGCATCGGAGTTCAAGATAGAATGCTAATTTAACAATTTCCTCGGGTATTTGCGCCGGATTATATCAGTTGTTCGCTACCCTCGCAATTAACTTAAGAGGGGGAATTTAATTACTATTTGTTATAGAGTTCTTTCCAAAATGAAATTTCTCAAAAGTGTTGAAATATATTTTCGAGTTTTGTGTAGAAACATATATTCTCGTCTTTATGAAAGTGATGTACGTGGTACATTGCTTTAATTTCCGTTCAAAGGAGAAACTTGCAATAATGTACATTCTTTTTTTTTAGAATTTCAAAAATTTCATTTTATCAAGGAAATTGGTTCTATACTTTTCTTGTCGAAATAAGTTCCTATCTTTTAGTTTGACTATCCCCAAGGCTAGCAACTCAAATGGCCGAAGTCGCGGACCATTTCTAGGTACTTTTCTGCCGGCTCCTGTTGTCGACGACGCTGATGCAGCCAATAGCATGAAATTGAGTGCTCGCCAATTGCATGCAACGCGCTCTTGTTCTGATACTTGCGATTCCTTCGATAATCTTTCGGGGGCCGTTTAGCTTAATCAGAAACCATTCCATTTTCGCTTGAGGTAAGTAGAATCGTTTGCCTTGAATGGCGTTGTTCGGGTCCCTATTGCAGCGTGACGAACTCTTTAGCTCTTTGTCTTTGAATTCACTAACCTGTCGTTAAATCTATTCGTATCTGAAGGCACAGCAATTAGAGTTGCCGACGAAGGCTTTAATTATAATTGAAAACCTTAGCTGTTAATTAAAACTTGATTATGTTGTTGGAATTATAATAAATTTTAACATTCAATGAAGGAAGTTATTGGGTCTAACTTGAAAAAAAGTTATCACACCCTTAAATTTCCTTCCTATTATAAACAAGACGGGAATTCCCTTCAAAAATTATCAGAAGAATAGCTGTACAATGTGAGTACATAATTCAATATATATGTTTGTTCAGTTTTTAGGATTTTGTTGTTTATAGCTTTAAATTATAGGAAAAGCATTATTTCATAAATTTCAGCTGCAAAACACGGATTATGGTACCTAATGGGTATGAAAAGAGCTATTAATATATATGATTTATTTAAAGGTGGAAAAAATAAAAACAAACCTAATCGAAGGTGTTGATGTTTTTCCTCCCATAAAGCAGCTATTTCAGATTCAGAGCATTAATTTTAGATTTGTATTGATGCCAATTTATAAATGTAGAGTAAAGTCGTGTGGAAGTTCCTTGATAGGTTTAATTTACATTGATTATGCAAAACTAAAGGATATTTTAGATATTTTTTGTTTAAAATATCTGAAAACACGGGAAAGGACAATTTTTCCGCTTAACATGATGACGTATTTATTCATGATATCCTACATATCGGCGATTTTTCCTGAAATCTATGAATTTGTTGGAGTTTGTTTGGAGCCTGTCACTGTCACACATGCAAAAGTGTAAATCCTTTTCGTGTAAGGCCACAACCTGGAGGTACAATTTTTTTAGTGTTGAAATGATGAGATGTTGAAAAAGGATGGGAAAGTAAATAGTTTAGAAATGTAAAGGCTATAATTATTTTGGTACGTGGGAATTGCATTCAAAAATAAAACGTTAGTTTCCTTTAAATGTCAAGCCTAGACTTGAATTGGGCTTCCGTGCTGTCGGTGCTGAATGTGGGCAAAATCGTTTCTTTTTTAACTAGTGCCCTACTTTAGTTTTAAAATTATTAACGTGTTTCGTTATGCGGGTTAATGGGATTCTCATGTTAAAAGGATTATCTATCGCGAGCAACGCGGGCTAACCTGTTAGTTTATTATTTTTATGAAGGTTTAGGTGTTGGAAGCATGGCGCTGTTGAATATATTGAGGATATTCGAGCGCGTATCCGCTTTATATTTTTCGGATAGGGATGCCACCTCGATTTCAAGTTTACTTATAATATTGGAATTATGACGCAATTCATTTTTTATAATGATCAATTCATCTTGAATCTTTATATCTTGTACCATACTACTGTTTTTTAGATTTTCTTGGTTGGTTAGATAATATTTCCACATGTTTGCTAGCTTCCCACTGATCTAAAAATAAATTAGGAAATAAATGAATAATCAGTGAAAAATCATCACGCGATAGCAGTTGTTTTTTCGTCCGGTTGATTCATATATGAAGTAGTGATGTAATCAGGGTTAATTCTCATTCTTTCTGGTTGAAAAGTTAGCAAGTAAAATTTTTTGTTGCATGGATCACTTACTTATATCTCTTAGTTCATTGTATCTGTCTGTGTATCTCCAGGCTTAAACTAATAATGGAAGTGCTTGCTTACCTTTGTAAAAACTTGAGTATAAGCACTAAGCACACTATGTGGATGCAGTTGCTCAGTTCTATAAGCACACATTGCTAAGTTGTTGCGCAGAATTCGCAATGCTTTACTTCATACTTCATACTAATATATTAATGATCCACACTAAATAAATGACTCTCAGTACCCTGCATGGTTTTAAATAAGGATCACTGCAAATACCTTGGATTGTATAACAAAATTTTGACGTCTCTTATGTTGTATTACTATATTTAATTTTTCGGAATATCGTATTTGGGGGATCTCATGGGGATCAAAAAATAACGATCATTTTTTTCTGCATTCTGTTTCAACAAGATTGGTATTTTCCAGCTTATTTAGTTAGGTGTTCAAACATTATTGGAAAATGCCTTGGATGCTTGGTTGAACAGGTTTGGATAATTATCACTGATGAACATGGATAAATTTTTTGCCACTATTTTGTGTGGGCAATGTTACCTATGTTGGCAATGGACTGTACAAGTATACAGGAGATTTACTGGCTAGCATAAGAAATGCCACACTGCCACAGCTGTGACCTAAGGGAGGAGGTTTTCGCCACACGATCGAGCACAATTTCACGACCCATCATGTGGGGGTCGCTAATTCAAAAGTTTTTCATATTTTGAGCCAAAATTTTGGCAAATTTCGGTTGAAAAACGAATCAAATTATGTGTGAAATGTCATCAAAATTGGGGATGGTCAGGTTGGGACCTTTGGTATACGAGCAATGGAATGACCCCCAATAAACAAACTGTACAAATAAAACAAAACAAATAAAAAAGACATAAACAAACAAATACAAAAAATGAATTGTACAAGTTTTCATACCTCAGTATAGCATGTAACTGTCTTCGACATGCATTTGCGAAACATAAGTGTTCCCTGCCTGTTTTCTTTTTAATAATGTGGCATAAAAGTGATCACTGTTGGGGAGCTTGGTAGGCACTGAATTGCTTTGTTCTTTTGTACTATTTGTTTTCCCTTTCCCTTCGAAGCAAATTCATGGGCTTTAGATTGTTCTAAACTCTGGGCCCTGAGCCGCTAACTTTGGTACCAGAAAATGCTTAGGTACGTAGGAGCTGTCTGTCCCTGGTGCTGTTTGTTCGGACTCCTCATTTGCTAGACACCCTGCACGTGTATCGTTTATGCTAGGCTTTAAATTTTGGTTCAAAATTTGTTAACATTTGCTGTAGCTGTTTTTAATAGCTAGGCTGTTGAACACAAGAGCCTAGGTATTAATTACGAGCAAGCAACAGTTGAGTTGCTTGCTCGTAAATTGTTTATAACAACGATATCACTCAAAATTACATTCGGAATCATATATAGAAATTTTTTCATAATAAAAGGCTGAAATTTACTGCCGCGCTGATAAACTTTTCTAATGTAATATTGATTTAGATTACTCTTATTTAATACAAATGCAATTCATTACTCCAGTGAGATCTATAAAACCAAATTAGAGGCTAGTGCTCACTGGGCTGTGTTGTCTCTTATGGAAAAAATTAGCACAGATTATCTTTGTATTGCAGCGACCTCTTGCCTGTATCCGTCCAAGTTTGTTGCCTGTGACCGCTGGCATAACTTGGCCTTAATGACTTCTCGAGTACTACACCAAAGGACACTCGGAGTTCCTGAGGGACCGCCAAAGTTGTTACGGGTCGCGTTACTGAACGTCCGCGAAAGCTTGCGATTGTCGCGATATCGTTCAGTGCGCGCCCTGAATGGTGCGTTCGACGTCTATAGGAGGCATTGAAAAGTGGTCTTTGGTCTCAGTTGTAATCGAACTTAGAACTAACACGTAGAATATTGAATTGCCCTAATGAATATAACTAGAATAGATAATAGATAGTAAGCACCATGCCATTGGCCAAGCTGAAAAAATAAACCCTACAAATGCATGATTTATGTTCAAATGTTTAAAATTATCGGTGTATTTTTTTGTTGAAAGTGATTTACTTAATAATAT